ACAATCTGACCGCAAACCGTTCTTTGCACTCAGTGCTTTCCACTCTAATAGATTTATATCTGTAGTAAGGACTTTGACCTCTCGGTCAGTTCAGTGGCACTTTAAGGTCACGGTGCCTGGTAATTAGATTGATTGGGTGTAGTACGTAATTTAGAAATGACAGCCATAAATTCCGCTACAAGGACTCGAAACATCAACTTCTCAACTGAGAAGCAACCGTTCTCTCACTAGGCTACCACCGTTTATGTTCATAGTCATCATCAGTCCATCGCAGTCGCTACTAGACATGAGTCTCTCCCAATGTGCGCCATTTCGTCCAGTACTCAGGTTATCGCATCTATCTGCTAGCAGTAGCCTTTGCAGATCGTCATAGTTTAAACTAAAAATTTCCGAAATACTCTCTCTTTAAAAAGCTTTCATATAGGCATATATATACGTAAGTCGAAAAAGTTTATTAGCCCAGGTGGTCTCAAAATCATACAAATCACCTGCCGCTGAAGCTGCGCCCGCGCTTGATAACTTAATTACAACCAGAGCGGTTCTCACGCGGCCCTTCACTATAATTACGATCGCAATAATGCCCAAATAACTTATTAAATTGAGAATTAAGTTGTTTCCTTTGATGTATTGCTTTGAGTAGTCAATTGAAGTGAACTATGAATATTTTTTTATATTAATTATATTTTGTTTTAGACAGTAAACGTTTTTACCTTTCTCGTTCTACCATACTTAAGAAATTATTTAGTCTGAGGAACATAAACAGACGATTAACATCTCGTCTTGAAGGTGGTCTACCTTAGCTCGTCTAATGGCGGGGTGTGGTAGAACAGTGCGAATTACCTTGTCCGACACTTGGTTCCTCGTATACAAACAAATTACTGTAGATTACAAGCAAGTGTGGTCTCAGATGGTCGCCCTGTGGGACCCCCGTGGCCCTAATTGCAGGTTGTAGGACTTGTAAATTGCTCTTATTGTGTGAGTACAAGAGCCATTATGCTCAATTTGTAATAATACTGTATAGAATTTTAAAATTATTGTGTAAATGCAGTCCATAGCAAAGCAAAATACGCCAGAAATTACAAGTTGGTGCTGCTTCGATGTAGATATGTATATAAAATGAAAATAAAATGATAATATGAAAAGCGATTATTTTACAAATACCAATTCTGAGAACTTCATGGCATTTTTATTTTAGTTTGTTTAACGAATAAATCAGTACAGTTGTACTACAGTTTTCTGCCACGTAGCTATGTGCGTCGGATGCGTGCGCACGCGCCGCTGCTGCGGCTGCTCACAAAGCGGCGCGATACTATCAGATCGTTAGCGGAAACAGCTTTGCAAGACAGCTATTACTACACTTGGACGTGTAATAAATATGTATAAGTTAAATTATTGCCTCCGATGGTAATGCAGAACCGGTACTCGATTTTGATTTTAGATTTTCGGTGTGAACTCAGCCCTGCACCGGTACTTCCGATATTCTTTGTAATGCTTGATTATGAGTCTTTGAGAAATGTTTAAAGAAATTGACATTCTTACGCTAGCGTCTCAGTACATTTACAAAAATGTAATTTATGTTAAGAAGAACAGTGATAGATATAACAATAATAAGAGGAACAACAAAAACTGGCTGTTCCTGAAAGAGGTTTCACAAAGTCACAAATTCATTTAAAGGGAAATGTATATACTTCTATAATATGTTGCTTTGAATATGCGATGTAGCTTTGAATAGCCCTAAAGCTTTCGAAAAACAGAGTTGTTGCATTTGTTGAGCCGTTTGTTCAACTCCTTTACCATACGCAACAGGACGAATGGCTGGTAAGTTAATGATATAAGGATGGAGTGTTTCAGACTTTTCAGTAGACCGTTGGAAGAACGATGAGGCTGAGAATAAATTGTTAATTTTCTGAAATATACCCGATAGAAAACCGTAAAACTAACTGTTGAATTCTAAAGGGTTTCAAGTTCAACCCACAAGTGGTAATGAAAGAGCAGTCCATCACCTCGCAGGCCGACGATTCTCAGGCTATCCACAATATAAAATTCATGTTTACAGATATGGACGCCCATAAAATTTGAAGTGGAACGGAGACGTACTCAGAACTTTTACTATGATATGATAAATTTCAAAACATTCGTACAAATTACGGTTCCATAGTCAACAACAAGGAACCCCTATTGTGTGATGTGATCAAAGTATGATTGACATTAAATTTGGTGAAGTGTAGTATTTATGTAATTATCCCAAAATCCGAATTAAAATTAAGAAAATTAAAAAAGAAATACTTGGACACTCATGCAACGGTCCTCGTGTAACGAACTTATATGCACGTGTGTAATTATCTACGAAGTAATAGAACAATGCAATTTCAACATTTGTTAGAGACAGGAGCCTAAAGTCTTTCGACTCCTGATTTCCACCACTTGGATGTAAGTGCGAGTAGGATGTAATTGGGAAAACTGTTTACGTGTTGAGAGTAATTTGCATAATAATTAAACAAACGCATGCGCAAGTTTTGATTGCCCAGAAAGTGAAACCAAAGATACTCATCAATTTTATCTCGTTGTAATGATTTAATAAGATTCTTATTAATCGAATAATGCTTTTGAATAATTAGCAATTTATTCCGAATTCAATATATATTTATTTATATTTTTATAGTATCGCAATGGTTTGCCAGAATATAAACGCAATAGGAGTCATTAAACGCGAAAGAGATGATATTAAAGGTGACAGAAACGAGAGGAAGCTTTCTTGGAACTCGGTCCGATTGCACAATCTACAAATGGAATCACTCGGTCGTTCCTCTACCGATTATGCATGAAATTTGAAACTAGCATAAAAAATACAATTCTACGGGTCTGACGAATCAAAATTTTGAATTTTGATCTTTGACTGAGATAATTGAGGTCAAAAGTCACCATGTTCTTAAAGTGACAAATATTCAATTGTAAAATTTTGCGCGTCTAAATTTGCAGAACTCTGAAAAAAGAAAATGAAAAAGAGAGATTCCGCGTCGGTTAGGAATCGATATTCGTCTTGTTTATCATACTGAGCATTGGCTCATAAGTTTAAAAAGTTAACAAAGAATTAAGAAACTAAAAATGGTGTAAAAAAACGTTATTACAAACACCCGCCATTTTTTGTTTTTTATTTTATATGAGAAGCGGAATCTGCAGTCGTCTCAATTTACTGGCTTCGTGGCGCCCTATTAAGTTACACTGAGTTTATCTCTGAGCGACCAGATGGCCATCCCCTTACGATAGCAGTGTCTCGATTCCTGTCCGGAAAATTTATCAAAGCTGACCTGTGAAGCCGCGAACATGTGTCGTTCCCCGCGGAATATAAATTGTTAAACTTATGGCCTTATGTGGCTATACATATTTATGGAGATGAAATGCGAGGATTAGGCACGGTATAAACAGAAATATCGTTGTTAGCTGCGCACGCGTCATGAGGAAGTTAATGCAGTTCTAATAGATCTTGATCATGTTGAATAAATATTTATATTACGTTTATTATTTACTAGTATGCTAAAAAAATCTTTAGAAGCGGCATTTTCAACGTGTTTGGTGAAAATGTTTTATTTTATTTTTTCAATGTCCCTTCTGTTCTGCCCTAACATTAATATTAATAAATCTTTAAAAGCTTCTATTTTTTTACTTTGAATTACTAAAAAGACTATTTCCCAATAATTCCAACGCTAAAGCGTATACAAATAAATTAACAATAATTTAGTTTTAATTAATACATCCGTCCATTAGAACGTATGCTTGTAAATAAAAGGCTAAATCCCCATGGACACCGCCGACAAATCGAATAACCGTTTGTCACGCTCTGATAGAATTAACATCAGTGTAGTATGAAATTTAATTTGTTTATTTGAATAAAGAATGTTCAATGGAATGTGTGGAGAAAGCACCGTAGTCGCTGGATTTTTATTTATTTTTCTTATTTCGATAACGTTGTAAATTAAGTGTGAGATTTATTGTAGTTGATACTTTGTCAAAGTGTGGGATGGAAATGAATTCTTCATTTGCTTGTAATGATACTTGATTATTTAAATGACGTTGGTTTCAAAGCTAACCGCTAAATGTAAAGAATAGATGAAAAACATTTTGTTCTGTCTTTTTTGAAGGCGGAATAAAATGACATTTGCAGGGTCGCCAGTTTTCATAAAATTTTAAATAGTCATGTAGTTGTTGTCGACAGTTTTATCGATAGATTGTGAAAGTAGATGACATTTTGACAAAAATGTCTGAAATGTGAACGTAAGACGTTCTAATGATTACTAATTGCGTTATTGTATTCGTTATTCTGATTTTGATTTTTTTTTAGTTGGCCTTTTAGTTTCCAAATGATTTTAATTCATAAACATTTTAATAACGACAAGCGGATGTGATTATGTATATTTAATGTAAATGAAAAATATTGAAATATGTGTTCTATTTCTATTTTGAATAAATATAGTACTAAGTGTAGTGTATGTATGTATGAATTTTCAAAAATTGACACTTTAAATGAACCTGTGCCCAGCATTTGTTGATATGATACTGATTGACTGCAATCACTAGCCGCTTGCAAGCGGGCAATGCTTATGCACAATTAGCTGTCATTTTACTCCATCTTCAAAAAAGACAGACAATAAGTACCATGATCGAGTAATTGCTTACGTTTGAACAGTAAAGTAGAGAAACAGTACACGACAAATTTAAAAAAAGACTTCGTTGCCACCACCCTAGTAGTAATGTAATTTGCTTCATAATCATCAAATAAATATAAAATAAAAATATTTACAGAACTGTAGAGGTACTGTAAGTTATTTGAATAATGAGTTTTCGGTATGTGCATTTTATTAAGAGACAGAGCGGGTCAATTAATTATTTCGTTTCTTGTTTGGTAATTTGTACTCATTTCAATTTGTTTTCGTTTTGTAAATTATATATTTTTGATCGTGCCTGTACCTAATATATTTTAAATAAATATATTTTGTCCCCAGGTCGAGCACTCCTAGACCGCTTATCGAGCACGACAGTGGGAGAAATCACAGTGGCGAACGGAGCGGGTGGCGATTTGCTACCCGCCCCGCTCGACGCTGCGCCTTACTCCATGGTGGAAGCCAACGCCACCTGTGGACAAGACGGCGCTGAGGAGTTCTGTCGAGACACACCTGGAAAGTGAGTATATACGTAGACAGATAACATAATGATATCTCTTAAGCGTATAATGAACTGAACCATCGTAGAATATTACACGTATATATTATTTTCAATGTATATCGGGTTTTACATCTTAATCGCTTCATTATAACACTATCGGAAAGATTGGATGTTAAGATTACGAAAATCGGCACCGGATGGCGGTTGGTTTCCTCGGTGAGCCACCTAGAGAACCAACTGAATGGATCGCTAAGGGTACCCACTGAATTATGATACTGTGTACCTACAGGTTTATTTCCCGTAAAATATCAATATGTGTAATAACATGTTAATTGGTAGATGGGTGTGTTTAACCAGGTCTTTTCTTCTTTTTCGAAAATCAGACCCCTAACAATCTGCAGGGGAACTGAACAATACCTCATTAACTGTCTCCGTGGCCGAACGGTTACCGTGCTGTACTGCCACTTCGATTCCCGGTCCGGGAGAAATATTTGTATGCGCTACATTTATTTCTCTCGCAAGTTTGGGTGTAATTTGTGTGTTTTTTTTATAAATGTGTCTGTGTTTCCCTAGTGCGGGGCTGTGAGTGTGTGCGTTATTGTTATTACCTCCATCACGCGTATGAAGAAACTTTGAGAATTAAAAATTTATTTTCCTCACACAGACGAGTGGTTGTATGCGACGTGTGCGAAGGCACCGAGGGGTCGTCGTCGCGACGGCACCCTGCCTCGCACGCTGTTGACGGAGACCCCTCTACATGGTGGCAAAGCCCCACCATGGCCGTTGGGGATCATCAACATGTGGAGTTTGTTGCTACATTACCTGATGTGAGTACGTGCCCGAGTCTACAGTCGCCGACTAAACTATCTTTAGCTTTTAAAAATACCTGAACATTTGATAAAACATATAAGTTAATCTAATCGCAATGGATTATTCGCATTATTGTTATGTACTTGTTTTTTGCAATGAATCTGTCGTTGTGAAACGGTATCATTTCGAATTTCGATTCAAGTATGGTTACCCATGTATTTAAATTTTTCGACGCATAGATAATGTTGACGCCCTGGCTGTTGTTATAAATTCTCTTCCATGGTCGGCGTGACGTATGTATATGCAAAAAGACTGCGAATACCAATAATTATTGACGTACTTACTTCAAAAAAGGAGGTTCTCAATTTGATTGTATTTTTTTCTCTATTATTTGTGAATGTTACGCGATTCATCTAGCATTTGTAAAAAGATATCGACGATTCTTTTTTGTTTCAAAAGGGGTACTTCAGTGGCGACCCAATAAAATGACATTACATGTGCCCTGTAAAGGCGTAGCTAAGACTTAAAAATATAATTAGACATGCAATTTATTACTAGAACTGCCTCGGTGGCCGAACGGTTACCATACCGGACTGCCACGCAGAGGTCCCAGGTTCGATTCCCGGCCCAGGGATAAATATTTGTATGGCCTACATTTATTTATCTCGTGAGTTTGGGTGTAATTTGTGGTTATCTATGTGTGTGTCCATGGCACCTGCGACACAGGGTTTCTCTAGTGCGGGGCTAATTTGAGTGTGTGTATTTAAAAAAAATATTATTAAACTTAAAGTAATAAATAATTAAAAAATAAATATACTTAGATAATAAAAGTGTTAAATTCTCTTAAATAATAAAATATCTTAATAAAGTAATGCAGTATCAATTAAATAATGAATCTATATACCAATTATTCTAATTGTAGAGCTCAGTATAGGAAGATCAGAGTTCTTAGTCTTTAACAAAATCTTGTATTGCATAATAACACTTTTGTATGAGGAGGTTTATCAATTTGTTGTCAGTTTTTCGTCTTTCTGAAGCAATATATTACTAGGTACCATGTTGTATAATGCTATTGCTCTGTAATAAGGGCTATTTTTGAAAATTGTAAGTTTAGGCGATGAAGGTACGGGCTGTCTACGTTCGCTTTTGACATGTTGAAAGAGGGTTATATTTTTTCTAACAAATGTTGCTATTTTGAGTATATGCAAACATGGAAGGGTATGTATGTATTGATGCTTTATGAAGAAAGATTTCCACAGCTATCTCTATGGCGTAGGTTTAGGATTAACCTGAAGCACTTTTTTGTAGTATGAATATCTTTTGCGCCTTATTAGTGTGTCCTCACAGGATAATTCCATAGCGGAACCAGGCGTCTGCACCCACTTCGCTAACTGATTTCAATAAAATTGGCACATAGATGTAATTCCAATTATAATAACAAAATATGGTGTCGTGAGTCGCAGGTGAAGCCGCGATAACGAAAACAGCGAAAGCGGATAAGCAAAATTTTGATATCTTTTTTTTTTATAAAAAAAAAAACATAATTATGACCCGTCCAGTCGACCATAATATCCCATCTTAAGTAGGAAAATGTTTCGTTCTCCGGGTCAGATCTTAGATTGTGATTTTATAGGCATTAAGCTTTATCTTTGGTGGGACAGTGAGTCAGTTATAGTGCAGTGGTAAAGTTACAAATCCGAGTATAGCTTCAATTCTGACTATTTTGTCAACATTTTCAATAACAGATACAATGAGATTGTGTAGGTACATAACAATTTATATATATATTATACATAGAACCAGGAAACTTGTCAATTGTAGCGTGTATCGCCTACAGAGAATTGCCTACGATTCCTGCACTAGGAAAAGCAGGTAATCAATAAAATCCTTGTTACTATAGACATCATTAACGACCACCGTACAGAACCGAGAAGTATACATCGTGCAAGTCTATCGTGAAATGTGTTTAAGATAAAAATGCATATTAGAACACTTTTAAGATAAATTGCGCTCTAATAAAGTAGATTATAGGATAGTTATTTATCAGATACAGGACGTTATAGAAACTGCGTCTATAGCATGAGGTAACAGTGGCATTGGATAAGTCAATAAGTCCAGACGGTATTTAAATTTTATGAAAAACATTGAAAAAAAAAAAATTAATGAATTATGAACTGGCCATGTTGATCTACAATCGTTTGCCATCTTGCATTAAAAATCCTGTGTTATAAAATATAGCTTTATGTGTCGTTTGATGGTTTCTTCGTTATCAAAGTTGTGTGCATTCAAAGAATTACGTATAGACAGACAGAAATAAGTGAAAATCAGTATGAGTTATTGCGGGCGAATACGGTGGATAAGGCACTAAGATAATACATCTCAACCTTTCTGAACTTTCTGAAAACGTGCGCTAAAATATTATTTTTAAAATAACTATACACAATATAAAATTTTAAAAGGAAAAACATTTTTTTTGTTTCAAGTTAGCTAGGGGTAAAAACTGCACGGAATATTAGGTCAACTCATTTGTCTCTATTGTAAATAATTTACTGTGGGAAAATTGTACAGCGCGCCTAGCGGTAACAACACGAAATAATATTTTGTGACATCGCTAGCGGTAACTGTCACTGTAAACTCATGGTAGTTACCCCAGAAAACTGTACGTAGTGTTGGGTCATGGAAAAATGTCCATTTCGAAAAATCATATTTTTCAGAAAAAGAAATATTTTTCCATGTATTTTTTCCTTTAATTTTCCACATTCGACGTTGACATCTGTCAAAAGTTGAAGTTAATAAACGTAAACGATGGAACCAACAACAGTGGTGGTGGTGAGGTTGTTGGAGGTTTTTATTGCTGTTGTGAAATCATTTTAAATTTCGTTTTTCTCTAAAAGGTTTTTAGCTATACAAGTTTATTTTATAATTCACATTAAATAAAACTTAAAAAGATATTTATGTACGTAGAACATAATAGAGCCTTCGACATTATACTTTTCCAATTTTTCGGGAATTTTTCCGGAAAAATTTCCATTGTTCGGAATTTTCCGGAAAATTACCTAAAGTACACATCCAGAGTAAGACGTAAGGGTAATTTCAGGTAAGTTTTTTGTACTCAATTTCGGTGACAATATATTTTTATTTAAATATTTATAGAATATCGTCATGAAGTATTATTTAATATTCGAGTGTGGTAACCTGAAATATTCTTTAATATTTCACGATGATATACTCGAGTAATTAAATAATGAAAATTGTCACCAAAATTGAGTACAAAAAACTTATCTGAAAATTACTGGTAACCCGTGTTTGTCAATGCGCTGTCATAGTGTCAATAAAAATTTTGTAAACGTCACTATAAGACATGCGACAGACGTTTATGTATCCGTCCTAACCATCGTCATTATAATACAGTATGCGCTGCATTTATAACACCCTGTAGGTGAATAGAAATTACTCAAGATATCAACCGCCATTAGCGCCCGACTAATCTATATGTGATCGACAGCGCATTGCTCGGAGGCATGGGGTATTATCGCACGCCGCCGTCTGGCGCCCGCGCCGCGTTGTGTCGCAAACTTCCCGATTTGGGCGCTCGCGCAGACTCGCCCACGCCCCGTGTGACCCCGTATGATCGCACCTAAGAATACCTATCCCTCATGTCGACGATGTACAGCCTCCAATGCAAGTCGCAAACTACCGTTTTGGCGCTACCTGTACGCAGCCACACGCGTTCCAGTTTCTTTAAAAGATGATGTTGACCAAAAGTGGAAATAAAATACAGTATTTACAAGTTCTTTTAAAATTAGACATTACATATTTTTTCTAAATAGTGCAATCCCTACATTTGACGGTGCATTATCATAAATCACCTTTGTATTCGACGAACAATACATACCTATCCTTAATAACTAAACAGTATATAAAATTGTACGAGTATGCATAGTTGTCTGGTTGTCTATATTTTATTTAGTCAAAACCGCGCCCGTTCGTAGAGAAAGAGGATAATAATGTCCATAACATAATTTCCATAACTAAACCCAAACTCATGGCAGGTACACACCACGATTTCGTTTAACTAAGGTCAACTATTATTTTATGGTGAACTGTATACGTTTTTACAATAAGATTCCGGAGTATGTAATAAAGTTTATAATTTCCTAAGTTTAAAACTTACATTAAAAGTATTTTAATTGAAAAGTCATATTACAAAATTGTAGACCACGAGTTAGATAAAGATTCATGGAAAGACAAAATGAGTCTAGATTTCACACAAATATGATAGTAGTGTTTTGTATCTATAGCATTTCAGTCTATTTCAAAAGAGCAATCCCTAGTGTTTTTTGCTCGTTCTTCTCAGGGAAACCGGCACAGTGAACGAGCAGTAGCTTAAAAAATTACGTTTTCAAGTGTAAAATTTTTTACCTACGGAATGAAAATGATTATTTGACTTTGTTTTGACTTTGACCCTCCAAAAGGCGCTAAGGTAGTGTTTGTCATCAAGTGCAGGAGATGTCTTTCTTGTTTGTGATGTCAATTGTTTGAGCTATTTTCAGTGTTTCTACAAAATTCTTTTAGTAAACAAGTCGCTTTAATTTCGTATGACCATCATCATTTAGTATCATCTAACGTTAACATTAAATAGGGCCGATATGAAATCGGTACCTATGCCTGGCATGATGTTCTATCTACACAACCTGTGTGCAATTTATCTGTAACCGTTTTGGACCCACTTCCGCTACTTAACACTAGGGGGCGCTGTTCTTAAAACTGGCATATATAATCATTCATTCAAGAGTTGAAAGGTGGCAATTTAGGAAAAATAGCGCTTTAAAAGTGGTAAACAGACCAATTTTCATTGCGTGAAATTGCAAGGAATTAACGTGACTTGATTTAATAGCTCGGACATTAATTGCAACTTACAAGCTGCTTATTTTTAATGAATGAAATTTTGTTTGAAGTTTTATATCAGTGCATTAGCTAGCTGGTTGGTTGCTTGTTTGTACCAGGATGGCTAGGA